ATTATATATTATATATATTATATATTATATATATAATATATATTATATATATTATATATAATATGCGAAGACGCATGCAAGAGGAGAAAGAAGAAAGAGACAGAGGTAAGATATGCATATTATATTATATACGTACAGCAACACTATCTATTATATATAATATTGTATATTATATCTCTAGTATATATATATATTATATTATATATTAATAATATATATAATATATATATGTTATAGAGATATTATATAATGTATATATAATATATAGATACAAGAGAGTATAATGAAGGCTGCATAAAAAATATATAATATGCGTCTAATGCTTTTGTTATGAAAAAAAGAGCGGAGGAACGCCAATGCATGCAAAGGGAGATGCACGTACACCTGAAGTTACGCCTAAGGTGCTGCTGCTGCTGCTGCTGCTGCTTCTTCCTGCTGCTCTTGCTGCTGCTCCCCCTGCAGCTGCTGCTCCTCTTGAAGCTGCTGCTCCTCTTGCAGCAGCACACCCTCTGCATCCTGCTGCTGCTGCACCTCCTCTTGCTGCTGCTGTTCTGTGGCTGAATCATCTTGCTGCCCTGCTGCTGTTGTTGTTGCTGCTGTTGCTGCTTGCTCCTGCTGCTCGTCCTTCTGCTGCTGCTCCTGCTGCTGCGCACCGTTGTTCAGTGTCTCCGCTACACGCGAACGCTTCGCTGGAGGGCAATCTTGCTGCTGCTGCTGCTGCTTCTGTGTCTGCGTCCCTCCTCGCTGCTGTTCCTGCTGCTGCTGCTGTTGCTGCTGCTGCTCTTGCTGCTTCTTCTGCTGCTCCTCCCTTTCGCGCACCCTCTGGTCGTGAGAAAACGTGCACTCGCTACCGCGAGTGCATGCACCCTGCAGCAGCAACAGCAGCAGCAGCAGCAGCGCTGAATTACTTGTGCAGCAGCACCAGCATCAGCAGCAACCCGATTTACTCCTATGCACCGCAACCAGCAGCAGTAGCAGCAGCAGCAAAAGGCGGAGCGGCGACAGAGTTGCGAATGCAACCACAGCAGCAGCAGCAGCAGCAGCAGCAGCAGCAGCAGCAGCAACAGCAGCAGCAGCAAGCGTACAACAAGGAAGAACTTGCAGAAGCGAGTTCCAATTACACTCGGAGGGGGTCGCGGTCGTTTGCTGTTGAGAGGTGCAGGGGGACTGCAGCAGCAGCAACAGCAGCAGCAGCAGCAGCAGCAAATCACAAACGAGGGTCTAGCGTTTAGGGTTTAGCGTTTACATACAGGGCCTACAGCTTTCCGCTCAGTGGGCGTACACTCAACTGCAAACCCTAAACCCTAAACCCTAAACCCTAAAACGTAGTCCACCCAAAACCCTAAACCCTAAACCCTCATAAGCCCTAACAAACTCTAACAAACTCTAACAGACCCTAATAAACGCTAAGAGTCGCTAATAAACCCTCATAAACCCTCATAAACCCTCATAAACCCTAAACCCTAAACCCTAAACCCTGAGGCACTCACTAATACGCTCCTGCTGCCTGGCCCTGTGCTGCAGCCATCGACGCAAATGCTGCAGCCTGTAGGCGAGCTGCTGGACCTCCAACTGCAACACCAAACCCTAAACCCTAAACCCTAAACCCTAAACCCTAAACCCTAAAATCCCAAAGGAAAACACTCCTACACTATAGCAGCAGAAGCAGCAGTAAAAGAGCAGCAGCAGCAGCAGTAAAAGGGCAGCATCAGCCAAATAACGGCAGCAGCAGCAAGCAGTAATAGCAGCAAAAGAGCAGCAACGGCAGCAGTAGCAGCAGCACCAACAGTAGCAGCAGCACCAACAGTAGCAGCAGTAGGAACGGCGGCAGCAACAGCAGCAGCAGCAACAGTAGCAGCAGATCGCACCGTGTAGGGGATCGTCGCTCCCGTGTATGTATGGACATTGATCTCCTTTTCTGCATCTATCCTGAAAAGAGAAGCAGCAAAAAAGTAACAGTTACAGCTGAAGACCCGAGTAGCAGCAGCAGCAGCAGCAGCAGCAGCAGCAGCAGCAGCAGCAAGAAGCACGTACTGGCCAGAAGGTACACATCTTCGTCTTCGCTTTGGGGTGTGCCAAGGGCGAGGTGTATGCAGCAGCAGCAGCAGCAGCAAAAGGAGCAGCAGAAGCAGCAGGTGCTGCTGCTGTAGCATAAGGCGAATGCGGTGCATAAGCCCCATAGTGAGGGTGTGCTGCTGCTGTTGCTGCTGTTACAGGTGCTGCTGCAGCAAGATAACGCGGGGGGTACCCATACATTGCTGCATCTGAAGCAGCAGCAGCAGAAGGCTCAGAAGCAACTGCATACTGTCCCTGCCCATACGCTGCAGCAGCAGCAGGAGCAGCAGTAGCAGCAGCAAGAGAGTACTGTGCTGCAACAGGAGGCGCTGCGTAGCCATCAATTTCACCGTATGGATTAACCAAACTATAACCTGCATGCTGCTGCTGCTGCAGCTGCTGCTGCTGCTGCAGCTGCTGCCGATGATGGGGGCTGTGCGCAGCAGCGCCAGCGACAACTGCATGTCCTGCAGCAGCAGCAGCAGAAACAGCAGCAACACCAACAGCAGCAGCAGCATGCCCGTCGTTTCTCTACACGCTTCAATGTCTCTCTAAGGCAGCAGCAGCAGCAACAGCAAAATCAGCAGCAACAGCAAAATCAGCAGCAGCAACAGCATCACTGCGGCAGCCATACGGATAGAAGGGCAGCAGCGACGCGCGCTGTTGCACCACCAGCGCCTATACAGCAGCAGAAACAGCAGCAGCAAAACCAGCAGCAGCTGCTGCAGCAGCAGAAACAGCAGCAGCAGCTGCAGCAGCAGCAACAACGTACCCATCTTGTACTCGATATTTACTCCCGTTGCGGAGTTAGGGCGGCTGCCATACGTCAAATGCTGCTGCTGCTGCAGGTGCTGCTGCTGCAGGTGCTGCTGCTGCTGCACCCGCTGCTGCTGCTGCTGCTGGTTCATAGTAGCAGCATGAGGAGTTGAGTGGGCAAACGGGCAGTTAATGCCGTTCTTACAAGACCCCTGAGTAGGCGCAGCAAACCCTAAACCCTAAACCCTAAACCCTAAACCCTCATGCACCTCACCCTTCATACGCCGCTGCACGCAGCAGCAGCATGTCAACAGCAGCAGCTACTGCCGCAGCAGCAACAGCAGTAGCAGCAGCAGCAGCCAGTTTCGCACCAGCATCAGCAGCAGGCAACAGCAGATCCCGCAGTAGCAGCAACAACAGCAGCAGCAATAGCAGCAACAGTAGCAGCAATAGCAGCAGCAGCAGCATACCATCAGGAAGCTCTTGCATTGTTGAGTAGCGGGAGTTAAACTGTCTTCTGACGAATGAATAAACGTGCACTTGTCTCCAGCAGGGCAATACCCGCTCTGCACACACGTAAACCCTAAACCCTAAACCCTAAACCCTAAACCCTGCAGCCTTTGCTGGGGTTGTAGCCAACTGAAATCCGCAATCCTCGCGACGTACTGACGGCAGCAGCAACAAAGAGGGCCTAACAGCAGCAACAAGAGCGGCAGCCGCAGTAGTAGTAGCAGCAGCGACAGCAGCAGCAGCAGCAGCAGCAGCAGCAGGCGTACTTGGAAGTATCTGCAGAGGACTGTGCGGTAGGCCAGAGGCGGCTGGACCTCCCGGCCGCTCCCTAAGGCCGCCATCTTCGCCGTTGCTGCTGCTGTTGCTGCTGCTGCTGCTGCTGTTGTTGCTGCTGCTACTGCTGCTAGCGTTGCTACTGCTGCTGCTGCTGCTGCTGGAGCCGCAGGAGCTGCCGGCAATGCAAGAAGAGCAATACCTTATAAGCAGCAATACATACACGAGGCGCCCCAGCGTACTAGCTGCTATCGGTGTAGCGGCTGCTGCCGTGGGGCTGCTGCTGCTGCTGCTGCTGCTGCTGCTGCTGCTGCGGGAACACCCTGCGTTTGCAACCCCCCAAAGAAAGGAAGTGAAGAGATAACTATGGAGCCCAGGGGAAAGGGAAAGGGCTAAAAAGTGCTGCTGCTGCTGATGGTGCAGCAGCAGCAACAGCAGCAGCAGCAGCAGCAGCAGCAGCAGCAATTGCTCCAGCGTTAAGTGCTGCGGAAAAACCCGCGCTGCAGAAGCAAGAAAGAGGAGTAAGGCAGCTGCAGCAGTACTCCAAAACAAAAGAAGATAAATAAGCAAAAAAGACAGATATAAGGTCTTGCTGCAGCAGCCACATGCAACGCAGCAAGGCCGCTGCCCTGCGGCGGCGGCAGCGCCTCAGCTGCTGCTGCTGCTGCTGCTGCTGCTGCTGATGCATGCTCTTGCTCCTGCTGCTGCTGCTGCTCCTGCGACCCTTTATTCACTAAAGAGACACTGAGCAGCACTGAAATATAAACAAAATATCTCTTTTGCTACTCAACAAACACCACGCGTACACCGGAGTCCTATCGACCGCAGCAGCAGCAGCAGCAGCAGCAGCAGCAGCAGTAACTCAGCAGCAACGCAGCAACAGCCCGCCAGCAGCACAATAGCACAGAAGCAGCAGCAACACTAAACGCTGCAAATGCAGTAGCACTGTTCATGCTGCAGGCATCCGGAGGCACAGCAGCAGCAGCAGCTGCTGCAGCAGCAGTAGCAGCAGCAGCTACAGACTGCGGCAACACGCCGACAGAACAGCAGCAGCAGCAGCAGCAAGACGTGCTATTCTGTTGCAAGTAGCTGCGCAGCAGCCTCAGCAGCAAGAGCAGCAGCATCGGCAGCAGCACCAGCAGCCCCGGGAGCAGCACCTGCAGCAACAGCAGCAGCAACACCAGCTGCTGCTGCTGCTGCACGCTTCAAGATCATTTGAATATGGCTGCATGCGTTTTGCTTTTCTATAAAACATGCAGCAGCAGCGGCAGCAGCAGCAGCAGAGGCAGCCACGCACTCCCTGGTCTTACATAAGCAGCACTCCCTCTGCTGCTGGGCCCCATGCCTTCAAACCAGCAGCGCAACAGCAGAGTTACTACGAGCAGCAGGAACAGCTGCTGCTGCAGCAGATACAGCAGCAGCAGCAGAATCACAGGCAGGCCCAGCAGCAGCAGCAGCAACAACAACAGCAGCAGCAGCCGCTGCACCTGCATGACAGGGAGGCTCAGCTGCAGCACCGGCTGCAGCAGGAGATCTTGCAGCAGCAGCGGGTGCAGCAGCAGCGGGTTCAGCAGCAGCGGCAGCTGCAGCAGCAGCAGCAGCAGCAGCACCGAGTGAACACCAGCAGCAAAACTGAACGCCACGTCTCCGTGCAGCAAGCAGCAGGATGGTGCTGCGTGGGCTATGAGCTGCAGCAGCAGCTGCAGCAGCAGCGGCAGCTGCAGCAGCAACATTGGTCACGCTATGAACAGTCTTCACTGCAGCAGCAGCACCAGCACGAGCAGCAGCACCAGCAGCAGCAGCAGCAGCAGCACCACCACCACCACCATCAGCAGCAGCAGCAGCAGCAGCACTTCGAGCAGCACCACCACCAGCACTTGTCGTATAATGGCGCCCAACGGGTGACAGTCAACAGCAGCAGCAGCAGCAGCAGCAAGTCTGTGTGGGCTGACTCCCGGCAGCTGCAGCAGCAGCAGAGGGAATTAATAGTTGTGGAGGATGAAGACGTCGATGTGCAGTACATACACTGCGTAGGTTCCAGCAGCAGCAGCAGCAGCAGAAACGGAAGCAGCAGCAGCAGCAGCAGGAGAAACAGAAGCAGCAGCAGCAGCAGTAGTAGTAGTAGTAGTAGCAGCAGCAGCAGTAGCAGCAGCAGCAGCCGATATAGTGGTGAAAGGAAGCAGCGCTTGGCAGCAAGGACACCATGGGCAAGCAGCAGGGCGAGCAGCAACGGCAGCAGCAGCAGCCACAGCAGCAGCAGCCACAGCAGCAGCAGCCACAGCAGCAGCAGCCACAGCCACCAGAGCGCCTCGCCCGCTCCATCTTCGATCGAGAGCCCCCACTACTCTTCTTTTAGAGGCAGCAAGCACCAGCAGCAGCAGCAGCATTCCTCGCCTCCTCTAGAAGCTGACAGAGGGGGGAGCCTTCGACGCAGCAAGAGCAGCAGCAGCAGCAGCAGCAGCAGCAGCAGCAGCAGCAGCAGCAGTAGGGGCGACAGCAGTAAGAATGATGTTCGAAGCAAGAGGAGGAGGAGGAGCAGTAGCAACAACAACAGCAGCAACAGCAGCAGCAGCAGCAGCAGCAGCAGCAACAGCAACAGCAGCAGCAGTAGCAACAGCAGCAACAGCAACAGCAGCAGCAGCAGCAGCAGTGCCCCCCTATTTGAATTGGAGGTGGAAGGAGATCCGTCACTTGAGGCTCTGCTGCAGCCCACAGCAGAAGACAGTCAGCAGCAGCAGCAGCAGCAGCACAGCAGGCAACAGCAGGGTAGGAGGCCTGGCCGCCATTGCCAGGACGGAGCAGCAGCTTCTGATGCAGCAGCAGCAGCAGCAGGGGAAGCTGTTATGAGCGGCTGCAGCACGCTGAACTTTGCTGCAGGTAGGGCTGCAGCAGTAGCAGGAGCTGCTGCAGCAGGAGGTGCTGCATTTGCTGCTGGCTTTGATTTGCTGCTGCGGCGGCTGTCACGGAAACTACAGGTAGACGGGGTGCTGCAGCAGCAGCAGCAGCAGCAGCAGGTTCAACCATTAGCAGCAACAGCGGCAGCAGCGGACAGTAGCGACGAAGACCAGTGTGCGGAACACAACAGCAGCAGCAGCAGCAGCAGCAAAGGAGCTGAGTCATTTGTGTTCTGCATAGACCGGAGGGTGCTGCATGCAGCCCTGAAGCAGCAGCAGCTGCAGCAGCTGCAGCAGCAGCGCAGCAGCTGCTTCTTTCCACAGCTCGCTCCAAGGAGGCACGTGGGAATAGACAGATATTTTGCTGCTGATCTGAGGGAAGAGGCAGACGGACGCATGCGAGCTGCTGCAGCTGCTGCTGCTGCTGGCAGCCCACAAATGCTGCCACACGAACGCGTGCAGCAGCAGCAAGACCAGCAGCAGCAGGAGGAGGAGCAGCAGGAAGAGCAGCAGGAGCAACAGCAGCAGCAACAGGAGGAGCAGCAGGAGCAACAGCAGCAGCAAGAGCAGCAGCAGCAGCAGCAGCAGCAGCAGCAGGTGGAGACGGCGACAGATGAAAGACCCAAAGGAATTTATTCGCTGGAGCTCGCGGACTTCGTTCGCTTCTTGCCCCTCTGGCCGCACAGCCAGCAGCAGCAGCAGCAGCAAGAACAGCAGCAGCAGCAGCAAGAACAGCAGCAGCAGCAGCAAGAGGAGCAGCAGCAGCAAGAGGAGGAGCAACAGCAAGAGGAGGAGCAACAGCAAGAGCAGGAGCAGCAGCAAGAGCAGCGGGAGCAGCAAGAGCAGCCGCAGCAGCAGGAGCAGCTCCAGCAGGAAGAGCAGGGACAGCAAGAGCAGCAGCAACACCAACAAGAGCAGCAGCAGCAGCAGCAGCAGCAGGAGGCAAAGTTGGAGTCAACCCAAGAGCAGTTGCTGCAGTCGCATCTATTTCTTGCTGCTTTGCATCTGTCTCCTCTTTCTATTTGTTCATTTTGTGCTGCTGTCAACTGCCCCCGAACAAAAAGCAATAAAAACCCCTGCCCCAGTACGTACCCCCTGTTGCTGCTGCTGTTGTTGTTGTTGCTGCTGCTGCTGCTGTGTCGTTTGCTGCGGCGGTCTTTGCTGCAGCCGCTGCAGCACGAGAGAGCATCAAAAAGGCATTTCCTGTTTGTTTAGCCGCAGCTTCAGAAGCAGCATGAGCTGCAGCAGCAGCGTGACTGACCACCCACCTTAGCAGCAGCAGCAGCAACAGCAGCAGCAGCAGCAGCAGCAGAAGGGTAGGTTTGTGTGTTTCTTCAGGGGCCTTCTGTCCCCGCTGCGGTGCTGCGGGGTCTCCTTTCTCGCATCGCTGCGACTTCCGCTCGGGCGGCCGCCTCACTCTGCTGCGCCGCCTTTGGGATGTAAGCTAGCTGCCACTTAGCTAGCTAGCTAGCTGCCTATACACCTAGCTAGGTAGCTAGCAAGCTACCTATACATTTAGCTAGCTACCTAGCTAGCTACCTAGCTAGCTACGGACAATATGGCTGAGCAGCTAGCTAGGCAGCCAGCTAGCTAGCTAGCCAGCCACACAAGGGGTGATCACCCCTGATTTCCGTTGCGTGGTGTGCATTGCTGCTTCTTTGTGCTGCTTCTGCTTCTGCTGCTGCTGCTGCTGCTGCTGCAGGCTCGTTATGCCCCTACGCTTCGAGACAACCGTGTGGAGTGTCTGTGCTGCGGCGGCCGCTACCATTGGCTGTGCGGCCCTCCGCTGCACCGCATTGGGTACGCTCGAACTGCTGCTGCTGCTGCTGCTGCTGCTGATTTTCTTGCTGCTGCTGGTTCTCTTGCTGCTGCTTTTGCTGTCGCTACTGTTGTTGCTGCTGCTGCAGCTGTTGCTGCTGCTGGTTCTCTTGCTGCTGCTCTTACTGTTGCTAGTGCTGTTGCTGAAGCTGCTGCTCTTGTTGCTGCTCCTAACTCTCTTGCTACTGCTGTTGTTGTTGCTGTTGTTGGTGCTGCTACTGCTGCTCTGGTGCTTCTCTTGCTGCGTGTGCTGCCAATTTCTCTTCCTCCTCCCTACGTTTGCTGCTTCCTCTGCTGCTGCTGCTGCTGCTGCTGCTGCTGCAGGCTGCACTCTCTACCTGTGCGCCGCGACCCTCGTTGTGGGGAGATGACTGCAGAGGGTCTTCCGGCTGTATGGACAGCTCAGCGGCTGAAGTCGTTTGATAAAGGAGTGCAAATGAAGAAGAGACAGAAAGTAAACAGAGATGAGAGAGACAGAGACAGTCTGCTGCTGCTGCACAGCCAGCACCCCATGCAACACCACCACCACCACCACCTCCAGCAGCAGCAGCAGCAGCAGCACTATCACCACTACCAGCAGCAGCACCACCAGCAGCAGCGGAGACACGAATGGCAGCAGCAGCAGCAGCAGCAGCAGCCTTATCCCTATGGAGACCACTATCTGCAGCAGCACATGCAGCAGCAACGCATGCACTGCCCTCCCCCGCCTCCGCTGCACCAGCAGCACCAGCAGCATCATCAGCAGCAGGATTACCGCATGCAGATACCTCATACGCATATGCCGTGGCCGCCTCCACCCCCAGCAGCAGCAGCAGCAGCAGCAGATGACGACAACCATCGGGGGCTGCTGCCTCTTTCTGCTGCTCCCGCTTCCTCCTTTCATTGGTTTAACCATTAAATCTTCTTGACTCCAATGTCTCCAAAGTGTTTTAAATGCAGTCATGCAGCAGCAGCAACAGAAGCAGAAGCAGCAATATAGGCAGCAGCAGCAGCAGCAAAGGCATCAGTAGCAGCAGAAGTAGCAACAAATATTTCGACGCAACAGCACAACGCACATAGCGTCTAGGGTTTAGGGTTTAGGGTTTAGAGATTGGCGGCATGGCTTCTGTTGCTAGCCGCATTGCGGCTAGCAACAGCTGCTGCTGCTGCAGCTGCTGTGACTGCAGCAGCAGCAGCAACAACAGCTTCGTCTACACCAACAACAAGTGTATGCTTTGCACACTCTTGCATCCATGCAGCGGCAGCTTGGCTGATGCAGTTGCTGCTGCTTGCTGCTGCTGATACTGCTGGTGCTTCTGCAGCTGCTGTTGCTACTGCTGCTGCTGCTGCTGCTGCTGCTGCTGCTGTTCTTGCTGCTGGAGCAACTGCCTGCTTCTCCACAGGAAAGTTTCAACGGGAGGGCCAGCGTCAGCCGCTGCTGCGTCTGCTGCTGCTGCGTCTGCTGCTGTTGCGTCCGCTGCTGCCCGTGGGTTTGCTGCTGCGGTTGCTGTTGCGTTTGCTGCTACATTTGCTGCTGCGGTTGCTGCTGCATTCGCTGCTACGTTTGCTGCTGGATTTACACAGCCCACGTACCAGGGGTGAGGTGGTATAGGAGGCAGCTCGGCGCCTGCAGCAGCAACAGCTGCAGCAGCAGCAGCAGCTGCTGCTGCTGCTGCAGTACTTGCGATGCGGCTGCAGTTGGGTGGAGGAGAGAAGCGTTGAACGTCGCCTCTGATTTGTGTCTCTTCTGCTACTTTCGGCAGCTCCTTCTTCGCCAGTTGCTGCTGCTGCAGTTGCTGCTGCAGTTGCTGCTGCTGCTGCTGCTGCTGCTGCTGTAGGCATTGCTCGAGACGTTTCTGGCGGCGAGCCAGCCGCTGCTGCTCTTCGTGGTTTTCTTTGAGGGCAGTATACAAACACAAAAATATATCATTTAATAGCTGCTTCATATTTTGCGTCTCTTGTTGTTTCGCAGCAGCAGCCGTCGTCTGTCCTACTGTTGCAGCAGCAGCAGCAGCTGCTGCTGCTGCTGCTGCTGCAGCGTCATCTGCAGAAGCAGGGCTTGAACCGTCAGCAGCAGCAGCAGCAGCAGCAGCAGCAGCAGCGGGAGTTGCTTCTGGGTTTGATTGTTTGCTGTCTGCAGCACCTCTCGGAGACAGCCAAAATATCTCAATGTCTTTGTCTTTAAAATAATGTTTGCGTTGTTCAACTCGTTTAGAGGAGACAGCTGTTTCCCCCTCGCCCCCCTGCAGCAGCAACTCCAAGGCATGGGAGCAGCAGGAAGATGCAGCACCAATGTTGCTGCTGCTGCTGCTGCTGCTAGTGCCGCTGTTGCTGCATCTGCTGCTAAGGCACTTGCTGCTGCTGGTACTGCCGCTGCTCCTGCCCTCGAGCTTCTTGTCGCAGCAGCAGCTGCTGCTGCTGTTGTTGTTCTTGCTGCAGTTAAGGCGGCTTGTTTTGCTGTTGTGGTAGCAGCTGCTGCTGCTGCAGTTGGGGGGGTTGCCCTTGCTGTTGCGGTGGCAGCTGCAACTGCAGCAGCAGCAGCTGCTGCTGCAGCTGCTGCTGCTGCTGCTGCTTGCACTACCACTGAAGGCTTGCAAGGGGGGGTATTTGGCCCCCTTCTGTATTTTCGCTGCTGCTTTCCCTCGCAGCAGATTAGGGCGGCTGATGCAGCAGAATTATACACAACAGCAGCAGCAAAGACAAAGGAGTAAAGATAACATAAACACAATAGAGCAGCAACAACGGCTTTATCTGCATCTCTCTACGTTTGTTTGTCTCTCTATCTATTTGTAGGCTGCTGCTGTTATTGCTGCTCTGCCTGCTGTTTGTTTAATCTCTGTTTGTTTCTCCTGCTGCATCTGCCTCCCTTCTCTTTGTATTGCAGCAATTTTAATCAAGCAGAGAGACAGGCGTACATAGCCGTTGTTGTGGCTATCAGGGGTCCATACTGTTTGCTGCTGTCTCTGTTTGCTGTAGGCAGTATCTGTTGTTCTGTTTGTGTGTGTGTGTGTGTGTGTGTGTGTGTGTGTGTGCGTGCGTGTGCTTGTGTGTTGCTGCGGAGAGACCTGCTGCAGCATGCTGCAGCAGCATGTGTGAGCAGTAGCTCATCAGCTTACTTGAGGCATCTCCTGCTGTTTCTCCCTGCTGCTTCTTGTGCTGCTGTTGCCGCTGTTGCTGCTGTTGCTGGTGTTGCTGGTGTTGCTGCCGCTCTCAACGCCGCAAACGGGGGCAGGTCACCTGTAGGAGAGCGGAGGGCGTTGGTTTGCTGCTTATATTGAGAAAATTCCATTTAAAAAGAGATAAAAAATAGATATTATAAATAATAATATATTTTGAAGGTCAAGCCCTTTAATTTAAGTGTACAGGCACCCTGCAGCAGCTGCTGCAGGCTCAATTGTCTGCCTGTACACCGCGATATCGCTGGGATTTTTCTTCTCCTTTTTCTTCTTCTGTTAACTCTTCTTTATTCTTATTTATAAATACAATAGGTTTAATAAAAGAAGAAAACTTCAGAAATAAATAATTTATTGCGTTACTCTCTTCCCCCTCACAGCAGCAGCCAATGGAGAGCCATCGGTACTGCAGCGAGCAGCAGCAGCAGCAGCGGCCTCAGTGCTGTTGCTGTCGGCTCTTCGGGTTTAATTTAATTCAAATTTCAAATTCTTCTTTAATTTCAAACAATTCCAATGAAAAAAACAAAGACAAACCGCCAGATGTGCGCTCTTTACAGGCGCAACCACTGCTGCTACTGCTGCTGCTGCCGCTGTTGCTGCTGCTGCTGCGGCGGCGGCGAGAATGGGATGCATGCAGCATCAGTGTGTGGCTCTTTATATCTTTAAAACAGAGAGTTCATCTGTCGTGAATAGCGGAGAAATTCGTGAAAGGGCATCCCCAGCAGACCCCAGACACCTCAAACCATAACAGCGACAAAACCCTAAACCCTCGTTATTACTAGCAGCAACACCGCCAGCTGCCTGTACACCTCATATATACGTATAACTATGGCGGCTTGCGATTAGTGTGTATATATAATATACGCATATAATTATGTATATATTACATATGCAATAATAGCAGCGTCATAGTGCATATTATATATATATATATATATTAATATATGCATTCTACGGACGGCGCTATATATATTACCATGGACGACGTTATATACTATAGATAAGTCTATATATATATTATATATATAATGTATATATATATGTATATAGATATATACACTAATCTAAAATCACGCCTATGCTCATGCATATACCGTACATCCAAATAATATTTATGCCTATACATACAAATACACCCCAGATATATACTGCCTATATATATACATACATATATATATAATGGATGCCTATACGCATTCGCACACATCTACATAAATGTGTTTATGTATGTAGGAGAGTTTACATTCTCATACACCCCAACTAAACGCATGCAGCTCTTCTGATTCTCTTTAAAAGGACGGAAAGGCCCTGACGCCCCCTAGCTCTAGCTAGCTAGCTAGCTATATAGCTGCACCTGGCTAGCTAGGCTTGGCAACGAGTAGCTGCTAGCTAGCGAGTTCGTTTGTCTACACTAGAAATGAAGGGCCGTCAGCAAGGTAGATATGATTTTAAAGGCGTTGACTCCCCATACACCTGAACAGCCCCCAAAGGAAAAACTCGCCGCAGTTGTTTAGCAGCAGAAAGAGCTGCAGCAGCGCCAGCAGCAGTTGCTGCTGGTGCTGCTGCTGCTCCTGCAGCAGCAGCACGCACCACTGTTGCTGGGGTATGCGTAGATTCGTTGTGCCTGTGACCACCCCCACAGCGGCTGCTCCTGCTGCTGCAGAAGCTGCCGCTGCTGCTGCTGCTACAGCTACTGCTGCAACAGATGCTGCTGCCACAGCTGCTCCTGCTACAGCAGCAGCTGCAGCAGCGGCTGCAGCATCAACAGAAGCACGCGTACGAGAGCTCTCCATGGTAAGCTGTGTGTCTTCGGGTTGTTTAATCGAAGAGAGAGAAACCCATGTCTGCATCCTCCTCCTCCTCCGGCTCTTCTTGCTTAGCTGCCTTGCCCCCCTTCTCAGCAGGCGCACCGCCACCGGCAGCTGCAGGAGCTGCAGCAGCAGCAGCAGGAGCTGCAGCAGCAGCAGAACCTGCGCCTGTGATCAGGTCCCTGTGCAACCGCAAACCAACAACAACACACAAAACAAATGCAGCGAAAGACAGCCCCACTTTCGTGAATGCGTTCATGCATGCATGCATGCATGCAAAACATTTCGAATGCTTGCATGCATGCATAAACCCTAAAAATCATCAGACCCATGCATGCACGCCTCTGTGCATGCATGCATGCAACTGTGCATGCATGCATGCTTGCATGCGGACTAGCGTCCAGAGCACCAAAGTTGGCGGCACAGGATTTGTTTAAATGAGCGACAAGCCCTTGCATCTTCCAGCAGAAAAAGGCGTATACATATAACAAAGAAGAAGACAGCGCAGAGCCCCACAAGCTGTATCACTTTGAGCGACTACTGCTTACAGGAAATGCACAGGCATGCAGATGAGAAAAGCAAAAAGAAGACGAAGAAGAACAAGCAAACTACAGAAAAACACAAAGACAAACAAAAGCTGCTGCTGCCTTCGCCCACCCCACAAGCGGGAGCAGCAAGGAGCAGCAGCAGCAGCAGCAGCTGGTGCTGCTGCTTGTATTACGGTTTAGATGAGAGCTGAGAAAACGAGGAATAAAGGAAAGAAGGTGTAAATGAGACAAGGAAGAAGCACAGCAACAAAGAAGCAGAAAGAGACGTACTCTACTTTATGTCCCTTGAGGGCGCGAGCGAACAGACCCGGCATGTAGGGTTCTACAGAGGCTCCTGCTGCAGAAACAAGTTTCTGAATATTTTCTGCTGAAATCTCCATTCCTTCATCGGAAAGAATTAAAGCGGCGTACGTACACAGCAACTCCTGTCGCTGGTTGTCGCTGAGGGAGGAGGTGGGGACGGCTGCCATCTTGAATGCAAAATTTGAATGAAAAAGCAGAAAACAAACAAAGAATTCTGCTTATCCTGCCTTCTTACACAATATTTGCAGCTATTCTGCAGAATATACACCTCTCTCAACTCCTACAAACACCAAACGCAGCTGTTCTTCATCGCAGCTGCTGCGGGGCTACAGCGATAGAGATGCAGCCCCCCCACGGGGGAGTGCATGCAGCAGCCCCGGCGTATTTCCTATGAAAATACTGAAGAATTATGTAATGTTTCAATTTGAATATTAATATTTATACTTTTATTGTATTTTTATTGCCTTTTATTTACTAAATGCTGCAGCCTACCGGGGGTATTCGTCAGCTACACCGTAGCATAACCCCAGCTCTACACCGAAATTCGAGTTTCTGTACCTCTAAAATAAAACAGCGCGAGGAAGTATATTTCTTAAATGTGTTTTATTTAAATGCAACAAAAGCTAAAACAGCATTTAAAACATCAATTTAAACGTATTTCGCTATGCTATGGACCGGTGTAAGTTGCAGCTGAGTCAAGTTCCTTCAAATACAATTAGAACAAAAAACCGTATTGGGAATCCTACGCTGTCTTCAGCAACCCTGGAAGAAGCTGCATAAGGGTTTGGGGCTGACGATGAATAGAAGAGATGGAATGTACAGAGCATTATTCTCTAATGATTTGCTGCAGTGCTCCGTGCGACAGCGCCTGAGACAAGCTGACCCAAGATGCACATACACCCCAACCCTCTTTCAGTGATTGAGCTAACACTGCAGAAAATTGTTATACACATCCTTAGCCCTCAGTAGTCAACCTGCACGCAATTAGAAATTCGTGTGCGAACAAGGCATGCTACAGCTAATGCATGAATACTGTACACTAATCCAACAATAAATATTTCCTATTACACAGTCAGGAGTGAATAGGTAATAGCTGCAGCATGGGAATGCCGGTTCTCGACGTGTTCTGATGAAAGTGAAAAAGAACTGCCGGCATGCGCCAGCAAAACGAGCAGCAAATCTCACCAACGCCTCTGCTTCAGCTTATTGCAACTAAAACTATTAAATTACTGAGGGGAAAAAAATGTCTGTCTTGTTGCTTATCAGAAGCAGCGAACTTGCACTCGGCTGCATATGTGCTTTCGCGTTAGGTCGGGCGACTGCGGAAGCTTGACGCCAATTCTGTATTTATTGCATTCAGCTGGCAGAATTGTCGGCCAGGTTGTCGCTGAGACCAAGACATGGGGTGGATCTTCTCTTACCTCTTTCGTTTTTCTCGAATATCTAGCCTTGTTCTGGTGGTTCCTGTTGCTTTCCTCTCCTTCTTCATGGGAGGCACGATTGATCATGAAGTGGCCTGCGCTTTCTTGTAATTTTTCCCCAAAAGTTTGCTTAGTTAAACCAATGAACGCTATAGTAGTGCCATGCGCCTTATACTAGCTACATTTTGAGCTTATAAGCAAATTTTTTTCCCACTGCTTCCCCGTTGTGCGCAAGAAATTGCAGCTCTTTATCTCTTCTTTTGCCTTGTTGAGAACGCATGCGGCAAAGAGTTTCTGTAATATAGTGTAAATTTATGCAACTGTGCTTTGAATTGTTTCTGTTGTCACTGTCCCACGGTTCTCTTCATCGAATCGCAGACGCACGAGAAACCAGATATGCGCTCAGCTCTGGATAAGACTTTCGTTCGATCCGCATATGGGAAACGAGCAAACTTTCTCTGGAACCGTCCAATATCTTTTCCTTTTGAGTGCATTCCTCTCCGTTCATATTGTGTAACTCCCCAAGCAAATGTCTGCCAGTTAATGTTGAGCTTTCATATTTTTCATCGCTTCCATTCCGCTTCAATGGGCAAAAAATAGCTCCCTACTTTCAAAGAGTTGAAGAGTAGTTGGAAGCCGTTTGAAAAGCCTTCCTGAACTGTTTTGGTCCTATTGAAACTTTTCCAGAACACTTCACAGGCAAAAAGATATCTCACGATTTCACAACGAAGCATTATGCCATCTGGGAGGGAAAGACAAGAAGTTGCACCAACACGGCTCTGCAGCCGTGTGAGCCCGTCATGCCTCGTTTTGATTATCTGCTGTTGCGTTAGTGCGAATGACTGGGTCTGTAGGGGAAATACAAGCCAGCCACTCGTGCTCTGAGGGGGAAGATGAGGCCGGAATGCCGCTGGTGTAGGAGGGAGGCTTCCTGCGAAGAGCGGTCCAGCCTTCGCGGCAATCTACTTTAGAACGGGTGGGGGAAGGAATAGCTTCGATTGTGGCAGCCACAGGGCAGGAAAGAGAAGGAAAATTTGACAGAACCTGGGGAGATTCTGGCAGAGATGAAGCAATGGAAGCTTCCGCCCATGGACTTTGCAGGTGAGAGCCTATGGCACCGTCATTCGCCCGTGGCGAGCGCTCCCGAGATATGTTCTCTGCAACAGGCGAGAAGCAGTGGATCTCTCGTCCACAGGAACCTGGTGGAGTTGAAGCGGGCGGCTGCCTGCCACCGCTGGTATTTTCTCTCGGAGAACGTGGTGAAGCTGTTACTGTAAACTCCTGCACGTGCCTCGCTGACGCAGCCTCCGACGCATTATGTGTGCTGTGATTCTCGATTACTGTCGACGGGCATTCATGCCCTGAGCCCTTTAACTGTCTTTCTATGGATGGCGTGCGCGTTATTGTTATTGCTACGGGGTCCTTGCAGGGAAGTTCATTTGGAACCCCTTCAGGAGGCAATCGGGGTGCGGCCATGCCTTTGTCGTTGAGAGGGGCGTTTGAGGCAAGCGGTTCATCACTGTTTTCAGGGGAAGGCAGCGACCGCCCAGCGGCCGAATATCCCATATTTTGGCTTTCTTCATGCTCTGGGCCCGTTTGGCATGTATTTCCTGGTTTTGCCTCCAACTTTTTGCTGCAGGGATTTCGCCGGCGGTGATCAACTTCTGCCCCCTGGTGTCGCTCGGAGAAATTGTCCATTGTTGCGCTCTCCTCTGAAGCTTTTGAGAGGCCATGAGACAAGCTCACTGAAGCCGCTTGCTTCAGCGGAACGCAGTGCAAATCAACCCCAGCTGAAGTCGTTTCACGTAGCGGTGGCGCTTCGGAAGCAGTTTCTGGGAAGAGGAGTGGGGCAGAAGAACGAGATGTGCCGGCTACTTCTTTAGATACATCTCTCAAAACATTACTGTTGGATTGCCCAGACTCTCCACTTACAGGGGGACTGAACTTTCGATAATGTCGCTCTTGACTAGCTGATGTGCATTCCCTTGGATCGCTTGTGTCCGTACCTGCATGGCCCGAGCGCACTAGGGGTGTACAAACAGTTCTCTCCACAGCGTTTGAAGTGTCGTTTAGCTTCTGGGACTGTATCTGTAAATCAGCATTGGCGGTACGGAAACCAAGAGAGCCAACAGGTTGCCTTTCCGAGGCAGCAATACTGCAACGTTGGAAATCAGGAGCAGTGCTGTCTGCAAGGTTCTCGATTGTTTGAGAACTCTGTGACTTGTAGCTTTGTTTCTGCAGATCGCATGAAGCGTTCAACAAACTCTGGTCGTCAATTTCCTTTCTAGGGAATCCGTTGTTTAAGTCACCCCAACTGTTCCACGGGCAATAATCTCCCCTCACTCCATATTCTTCGGCTGGAGGCTGGCCATTCTTAATCACCTCAGGAGCATTGCCCGCAATAGACTGTAAATCGTGCGCATTAGGAGAAACATTTTCGCCACCAAGGAGGTCACGCACTCCCCGATCCGCGAATTCAGCCGGCGGCTCCACAGCGAAATCAATACAACTGAGCGAGAGAGACATCGATGATGCCAGCTTTCTGTGTTGAACGCATGTAGCTCGTGCTGCTTCATAAAGCTTCTGCATTTTCTTCAGGCGCCTTTGTGCCTCAGCGTGTTTGCGTCGAGCAGACTCAAGCTCCACAACGAGAAGCTTAAATTCCGCATCTTTATTTCGTATTCGGTCATTGCTGCGTTGAATCTCGTCCGTCAAGCGCGCCACGTGGCCCTCATATTCCTGTTTCAGTGCTAGTTGAGCAGCGTGTTCTGAACTTACATCTCGCTGGGTAATCGACGGCTCCTCCAGTGAGGGATGGTTTGCGCAAGCGACAAGCTCTTCTGGATTTTTCGTTGCGGCTGTATGAGTAGGCTGGGTATAATTCACGTATTCATGCATGCATTCAGCCGCCTGCTTTTGCAACTGCGCCTCTAGCATTTTCACCTGTTTCTTTGCTTGCGCAAGCTGGGAACGGAAACTTGCATTTTCCTGTGTCAGCAACATGTTCGTTTCATTTTGCTCTGTACGAAAATCATCTTTATGGATGTTTAATGCTGCCCTCAGCAGGTCTTTTTCCCTAGCATCCAGAAGGCGTTCTCTCTCTGACAATTTCGTTTCGCGTTCGGTCAGCCGTGCTTCTCGTTCCTTCTGTTGAGCGAAGCTGACCTCTAGTTTGCTTTTTGCCTCATGCATCGTGACTTGGGCTCCAACTGTACTGTCTAGTGCTTCAGTTCCTTGACTTCCTGTTGCCTGATCTATTGCTTCCTCGAGCTGCCGCATCCGTTTCTCACATGCACCTTCTAAATTGGCAATGCGTAGGTCCAATATTTTTCGGGAGTCTTCGCTGACGGCAAATAGTTTTTTCGACGACTCGCGCAGCTCGAGGCCTTTTAAATGAGCTTCCAAAAGTAGCATCTTGTTCTGTGTCGTTTCGCGCCAATCATTCCACCTTATACCATCTACAGGTGAACTGCGAGATGTTGGAGAGTCGAAGGGCACAGAAACCATGGATTCAACTTTTTGCTTGCGAGCACTCCTGGGTGGACAGGATGCCCCTTTGATCCTCTTCGTCCGTTGTACGTATTCAGTTCGCCCGGTTCTGCAAGGGGAACTTGCTCCTCCATCGCTAGGAAAGCATCCAGTGTCACCTGCTCTGCAGGCTCTGCTCTCTGCTGCAAGCACTTCATCAGTGCTTCTTGGCCGGTTAGGGGTTTGGGCAGCACCATACTGGCTAGCAGCATCTATCAAGCGGTCGAGTAAATTCCATTGAAGCCCCGAAGACACACATAGATTGGCTGGTCTTCTGAGAAGTGTTTTTGGAAGCTGTAAAACGGTCTGGCATTCCTCTTGCGACAGTATATCACTGGTTCGTATGTCAGCCTCTGGGCACAGTACTCCTGCTGTGTGAACAAGGCCATGTGCCTTGAGCCACAGAAGAACGAGCGAGAGAGTCGCCTTAAAAGCAAGAGTTTTCTTCGCCGTTTTCTGATCCTCTCCGCACTGTTCTAAGCTTGTGCATTCATAGAAACCCCCCTCCTCACATGCGCAATTCAACAGCTTTCCCGATAGGAAGTAACGCACCTGACAAACGAGTTGCTGCCGCAGTTCTGACTGAGACAATAAAGAAAGCATTCTCCCCGAGGCATCAGCAGCAGAAGGCCCCGACGAAAGCTCATTCTGGCTGCTCTCTGACAGAGCAGCCTTGCGTGGAGATTCATTCATCACGCACAACACTACGTAAGAAGCCCTTGACGGAATTGCTCGGCTACGTCTACGTGGTTGCTTGTATTGGAGGCGTTCGCAGAAGATGTCAGTCGCGAAGACACATACATAGATAGACAGCAAACAACTTCTTAATCCATCTTAGCCAACTATATGTGACCAAACCTTTTGTAATTAGTAATGCCTCGAGTTGACGCGTCCCGTTGTAGAGTTACCAAATAGAGAGCTATAACGTCAAACCACTCGAACACTTTGAGCACCGAGCAACCCTGAAACGGTATACACAGTAAACTGAGAATGAATATGAAGAGAGAGTTTGAAGAAACGCAATTGCATCTGGGATACTCCCCCGCCCCCCCCCCCCCCCC